GTGCCACAGATTAGTAAGAACATCTGTAGGTTTTATATTGTTTTGAGAACACATACCGCATAGTTTTTCATTTCTTATGCTTTTCTAGTTTCTTTCTTTCTGTCTCTCTCTTTTCTGCTTCTTTTTAAATATATTGCTAATAAAGGTTAGAGGTAGAAAGCACAGCTGGGCTATGCATGACATGCCACTGTTTAATTTCTAGCTCGGAGGATGAGAAGAGTAGTTTTATTGTATCCTAGAAGAGAATAAAGCCACATGCAAATTCCAGCCATGGACATCTGTTTCCTCTTTGTGTGAAAGAATTCTCATATTTGGAAGGGAATCCCAGTTCTGAAGAGACCGATGAGTTTGGTTTTTTGGTTTTTGTTTTTTCTTTTAGTTCTTCCCCCCCCACTTCTTTGCCACTTCTTTCAGCATGTTCTCCTTGCTCCCTGGCTGCTGTGTTTCCTTCAGGACAATGTCAGTTTGCAATTTAGCGTCACATATTGAACGGCTGAATTTTTTGTTACTTTAAAATGTTCTGTTGCAGTTACAAAAGTATTATTAAGCTCCTCTTTAAATTTCTTTTATTTAATTAAACAGTATTTGGTGGGAGGCCTTTTGCTCTGTCATCAATCTTCAGTACTTGCAGGTTGGTTTTGTGGTTTTTTTTTTTTTTTTAGAAGTAGAGATGTGTGTATCTGTTGCCCTGGCTGTGAGGTGCAACTACTTCTAGAAGTAACTTATTAAAAATAATCTTTTAAAATCCTTCTGTATGAGGGTATTAAGTAGATATGTAGAAGGACTACAGGGACCAGAGTAAATGGTAATTTCACTAACACATAGCATATTTTAGAATAATGATTTACAGCTATCTGGGGGGCTTTAAACTTTTTTTTTCGTTCTGTGTAAGAGTTGACTCTGTTGACCAAACAGCACAGTTATGTAACGTTAGGCCAGGCATGAGAACTGGTACTCTCTGTCTATTTTATATTAACGTCGAATGAGAGGTTGGTGGAGCTCGCCAGGATTTCATATTTGCTGGCAGAAAGTTACCCACATGTGCAGACCACATTTTTATTGTTGCCTTAGCCTATTTCGGGCATAAATATTGCTGCCTGGCAGGGTGTGATTCTGTTCATTGCCGAAGAGCTTTTCTTTCAGAAAGCAAAATATGAAAAGGAATGAAAAGCTGTGAATATTCAAATTAAGATGTGTCCCCAGACTGTGAGATTTTGTCACATCTGTTGTGGTAGAGAAATCAAGGGCGATAAGCCATCTATCTACAGGCTTTTTCATTGTTGGATGAGTTACCCTTGCAGAGCTATTTCTTTTTGCATATATTAATGCTACTTTTGGGTGTGGGCTGTTTAGTCTGGTCTCTTAGGGAAGCAAGGCTTATGCAAACAGGGTGTATGCACACACCAGCACACAGCAGCCTGCTCAGCCCTTGGACATGTTGGCCACGGAAATGTGGCGGAAAGGCAGAGGCTGCAAAGATAAATAGAAGTTCCTATCATTTTCTTGAAAATATGTGTGTGAGGAGAGAATAAAGGTGATTAAGGGGTTTGAGGGAAGGCTTGCAATGGGAACAGAACTTTCGACAGGGGCTGTGGAGTAGATGTCAAGAGGAAATGTGATGGAGGTCCCTCTCACAGGAAGATCACTCAACTCGGCTTGGAAATTATTTGGCTTTAGAGAATCTGATGACAAAAGCCAAGTCCACAGGAAGCCAGACTCCCTTTCATTCCAGTACCCATGAAATTGCTTGTGTGGGTTTTGCTTTTAAGTCAGGATGTTTTTAAACAGGCTTCAATGGACGACTGTAAGAAATGGAGGGCATCTCATTAGCATCATCTTAGTGCAGGCAAAGGTGCTGCTCTGCTTGGTTTCGTTGGTGGTGCTTCCTAGTTTGGTTGGTTGGATGTTTTGCAAGTTTTCAAATGCTATTAAAGTGTGACTTACAAATGTTTCAGGCCCTTGTCCTTCAAGTGTCTGAGAGAGGAGGGAGCCCAGTGGCTGTGCAGATCCCACAGAGACATCCGAAATCTCCCCCGGCGCTGTGGCAGCCTCTGCACCACAGCGTCTCGCGGCGAAAAGTGAAACCCAGAACCCCCATCCAGGTTCCAGGTCTGGTCCCCACTGCGCGGTGCACGGAAAGCAAACACTGATAATGCTGAAAATCAAACAGTAGTTGTGAACAAATTTCCTCTTTGAATTGCTTCTAGCTAGGAGATAAAAAGGGGTTTATGTCAAAAGCTTCCCTTGTTGTCTTATTAACAGCTGCATAATTTTACCACTCATTTGCGCGTATAAAAAAGCAGAACTTGGAGACTGTATTTGAAAGCTTGTTTTGTTTGGTCTACAGCTGGATACAGAGCGTTTCCTTTTCTCTCTTTTAACAAATTTGAAGCAAATGTAGTGGGTATTGTTTCTTTTTTTCCTCTCTTTTTTGGCCTAGATAGTAGAAGGTTATGTTGCTTTTCATTTTACATTGCAAAGAAATTATGCCATTTAACTCCAATTCAACAATGATGCAGCAGCATGTGGATGTATATATCTTCTCATAAATATATTACCACACATTACTGTCAAATAGCTGGACTTTTTCACCCAGTATTAAAAACAAAATTTAATTGCTACGCTAAACTTTCAAACCTCTGATAAATAAGAGCCACGTCTGACCTTTATTGTGGAGCTCTGAGATGCCACCAGGGATATTGCTCGTTGTTTAAGATGACAAACTTCCTCTGAGATTTCAGTTTGTCAGCTCAATGTACAGCAGTGACATTGATTTCTTCTCACTGCCATTTCCTGCCTGAATAGATAACAAATTTTCTGTGGCAGGTGTCTGTCAAGCTTAGTTTTGCCTGGCCGATTAACTTAATAGACTCATTTATTAATCATTAGTTGCAACACAGTGAAGCAGACAATACTCTTTAACTCTTGTGATGTTGAATGGATGTATCATTCCAGATTCCTTTGTGTAGCTTGACTTTGGATTTAATAAGCTGTTCATATCTCTGTAGTGAATGTTTTTAACCTGACATTACTTGTGTTACAAAGAGCGAAGATTTATGTATTAGTTGTGTGATCCATTTTGAGTGTGTACTACTTTTCATGGCAAAAGGTGCGTAAGTGCTTTCCGAGACTAATAAAATGATGCACAAACCGCAAAATCAGCCTACATGAGGGGGAAAAATAATCTGGCTTGCATCATGCTTGGGAAAGGAAGATAAGTGTAGGAGAAAAAAATAGATACTTGGAAGAAGATTGGAAACTGAGGCTGACTGGCTTTTGAAGTGGAGGAAATAACTGTAGAAGCATTTAGGAAGGGGAAAAGCAGACCTGCAGCTACAGCTGTATGGCAATTCTGGCACGGGCTCGTATTTTCTTAGGGACTCTTTCAATACGAGGGTGGTGAGATTTTGGAATAGATTGCCCAGAGAGGTTGTGGATGCCCCCTCCCTGGAGGTGTTCAAGGCCAGGTTGGATGGAGCCTTGAGTAGTCTGATCTATTTGAGAGGTGTCCCTGCCCATGACAGGGAGGTTGGATTAGATGATCTTTAAGGTCCCTTCCAGCCTGTGCCATTCTATGACTCTATGACTCCTTCCTCCCAGGGGTCTTGAGATAGATACTCAGGCTGGAGACAGCAAAGGCAGGGTTGGTACCAGAGGTAGATATTGGACAGTGCTTGTCAGAGTGGTGAAGGATATTGGACAGTGCTTGTCAGAGTGGTGGAGGAGGAGGAAGTGCCAGAAGAACTTACTGGAGAGATTGGAGGAGGAAGAAACTGTAAAGGAAGGCATAACCTTGGAAAAGTGATGTTTCTTGTTGTAAAGAATCGCTGTTAACGGTGAAAACTGACTTACTACACGTTATCCCTGCACAGCCTACAGAGCTGATGGAGTCGTATGTGTGTTTGTTTTTTTCCATGTGTTAAGTAGGCATTTATCAGGGCAAAATCTGTAAAGAAGCTGGAAATGCACAGGCACTGCTGAGGACACATGGCAGCTGGAATGAGCCTAGGAATAGATACAGGCTGTTGTTGGACAGAAGAACCTCTCGTTATAGGTGTTGAGAGGAGAACCACCAAACATCTCCCTTGGGTTTTGGCTGGGTTGTGGTAGCTCCTCAGAACCTGCTTTTAGTTCTCTAGGGAGGTGGTTAATGTGAGATCACCAGGAGATGTTCCGAAAAGTTTCTCTTTGCAGCTGGTGCCCAAACTGCAAAGCCCTGGTTGGAGCACAACTGTTTTCAACTCAGCATTTGTGACGGTGTGTATTGCTGAAGATGTTTTATTTGCCAGGCTGGAGTGTGTTTCTTGAACCATCCTTATGGGTTTCTTGGCCGAGCATCAAGCCAAGAATGTCCCTGCACTAGATCATACTGCGTATTGCTCTTCTAGGCCACCCTGGTAACAATACATTAACCTCTCAGCAGGGAATGTGATAAACAAAGTAAAACTGCTTTAGTGAAACCAGTCATTTAATGGCAGCATATATAAAGTGTCCTTAAAGATTTGTAAATGTAGTAAGCTGCAGTTCACTGAGTGAACAATAACTGTTCCTAATTTGGCCAGTTGAGGAACATGCCAACCTAATTTGTTTTTGTAACATTATGTTCTTATTTGTTTTTTTTTTTCTTTTCCCACCTCTCCAGATTCCTTTCTCACTGGTACAATTTCCCCTCTGGGAGTCCTTAAAGGTAAGTCCTCTTTAATGATACAAATATAAGTTAGACATTTCGCAAAGCCTTTCCACGGTAACTTATCTGACTTGGTTATCACAATTATGGGCACATCCAAGAATCAGGAAGCATGGACCAACCTACCTGTGCATGTGAGCATCGTTTGCCTGAATATCTGAAAAATAACAGGGAACATCTAACCGCTGATACGTGGCATGCAGTCTAAATTTTACCCCCCAGCATGTCAGAAGTCTTATCCGCTACCCTAGCTGTTTTTACTGATTAAAGTGGGAGCCATCTTGTGTTGTGGTTCTTTTTTATTTTTTTTTTTTTAGCATTTCACTCAAGGTAACATGCAATTGCAAATGATACAGAGAAAACCGGTTGAGCCTGGATTTGCAGACAGAGAGAGACTCAGTGCATCACTGGCAATCCTATACGCTCTTTCAAAGGTCACTTAAAGAAGGTGTCAGTTGGATGATATTTTAATGATGCAGTCTTTCAGAATGATGTCCTCTTCTCCCACCCGCGGGTTGCTTTGTTTATCATGGGCAGAGTCTAGATTATTCAGCAGAGTTTGATTCGAAGTAAAGTTGTCTCTGTCCCTCTATTTTTTCCTATAACTCACTGCAAAAGATGAAGGAAAGTCAGGGTTTCTCAGGTGCTTTGAGATCCTAGCTTGGAAGCACAGAAAATTATTGCAGATTGTTAAAAGCATTGTAGCAAAATAGAACATTTACAAGAGAGGAGCTGGAGAGAGGTTAATTTTCTTCTTGTTAAGGGTGCCGGACTTCAGAGAAAGCTTGGCACTGAGACCCAAACTGGGCAGAGGTACTGGGAAGGATGGGTACTGGTGATGATCTTCCTTGCCCCTTGGTGCTTCTACTGAGGGAATGTGTTCTTATGTTCTCCTGGGTCCTTGTGTGCTTGATTGGGACAATAGCTTGTCCTGTCACTGTGTGTCAGTAGCTTGGGTTATTCTGGAAGGACAAGCCCACAGTGTGAACGTTTGCATCTAGAGGCTTCAGGGAGTCAAATATAAAGTGGAGTCCACAGGCAGGAGGAGAGTGAAATACATCAAGAGCTTTCACAGAACTGAGCTGTGTTTTGCAGAAGAATCCGTAGGAACTTCATGAGCTTGATCTGACGCGGTGTCTGGGTATCGTCCCATTACACAGGGTAGCTTTGGCTGCCTTATTAGGAATCCGTCTCACTTCCAGTGTCTAGGAATGGCTTTCTGTAAACTCTTCAGCAGCAATACTGGCCTGACCTGCTAATTGTTAGTGCAGAAGCCGTGTTTGGGAGCAAGAGGTAGCAGTGCTTAAAAAGAAAACGTGCAGTGTTCTTGCCAAAACCACGTAAACCAGCAACATCATGTAGCTGTTCTCAAAACGTAAAGTTGTTTTAACTAATGTCCATGTAGCTGTGACAATAAAATGTATTGTTTAGATTGCAGGCTTTAAAGAAGACGGTTTGACTTTAGCTAGCTACAGGAGTGAGTCACTTAGGATGAGACATCATGTTTAATCTTAAGAGGTCAATGCAGATCTGAAGAGAAACAAAACTAGGTTAGTTTGTTCCACGGATCAGTTGCAATATATTCTTCTGACCGTGGTATCAAGAGTGGAAAATGGCAAAAATCAGTCTTGCATGCTCCAGTCACTTTGGCTCAGCACGTGTAGAGAGCTCAAGGTTTGTCACATCAAAGCCAGGCAGTGAAAGCAAAATATGTTTTGTTTATCCGAATGAAGCTCTTAAAAAAAAAAATTACCCTGACAGTGCAACAAAGGAGAAAAACCATAATGGTCCCATCAACAGGCTGGATGTGGCCAGTAGCATCAATAGGATAGGCCCAGGCTAGGGCTTTTCACGGTGCATGAAGAGACCTTGATTAAAAGGTAGGAGTGCAAAGGAGAAGACCCAAATGGTGTGCAGCCTGAACACAGCAGAATTTACCAAGCTGTTGGTTGGATAATGTCTGAGGGACTTTCCGCACTGTATTGATGGGATTACTTGACAAAGTAAATCCGGGAGCAGTTGTGTGTGGATCATCTCACAGAGAACAGAACAAGCGCTGTGGCTGTGTCATTTTTAAAACCATTAGTACAAAGTTACATGAATTGATGGATGATAGGCTGTTTTTTAATTCCCTGAACAAGCTAATCACCATAAAAATGAGGAAAAATATCTTTCCACTGTAAAGGACAGCTAGTGAGACACAGGGAAGAAGAGTTTCCTGTTCCTTCACATATGCACTGGCTGAAGCCAGCAGCAGGGTGTTAAGCCTAAAGAAGCCTGATAAAGGCTTGTCATAGGCAGCAAATCAGGTATTTCTAAATCCCGTTTTCGCTCTCTGCTTTGCTCCAAGCTGCTGTGGTTTTTCTTTATGCTTCCAGCAGGCTTTAGTCACATAGTTTACATGCACAGTTTTCTTCTGTCTGTGAATGTAGACCAGCTGTCCTGTCCTGTGTGTGAGTAAATTTGAGTATCATGCACTAAACTAAGTTAGAAGAGAGAATATCGTATAGATTAAAGTTACTTAGACTGTGTGTGCTGAAAAAGGGGGTATTGCAGAGATTAGCAAGGAATAGACACTGCTTCAAATACTGCCTTTATTTCCAGTTACTCAGGTGAACACATAATTTAGAAACAGTCAACAGACTAATTTCTTAGATCACAATGACTCAAGAAACAATAATAAAGAAATGATGGTGATTTTAATAAAAAAGAAAGCTCTTTTTTTTTTTGAATGTGCGCATGCTTAATATTTCATGCTTAATGTCCCCTCCCTTTCCAATTCTGCGTTTTTCCATATTTTGATTTAGGCACAGATTGTTGATACAAACGAAAGGGGAGAAGGAAACTGTGCTATGATGTATCGGATTTCAGGACAGATATTGTTTTCTCTACTAGCATGAGTTAGTGTAGTACTTCTGTCTTTTTAGCCCTAGCCTTACAGCTGAAACAATTTTGAAGGCTTCTCAGAGCTCAGGAAAAGAAAGGACATTTCAATTTCTCTGCTATACCAACCCTTGGAGGAGCACCATGGCTGATTACCACTGTGGCAGTTTGATCAGGTTTAGGTTTCTTTAGGTGGGGCTGATCCCATCTCAAAGCCAGCTGGCCATGAAGAAAGGCAGCAGAACATAGTTGTGGTGTGCTTCCCACATGCCAGCTGAGCACACTGCCTTCTGTATTAGTTCAAGTTTTGGAATAATGTTGTAAGATACAGTCCCCCTTGTATGCTGCCCTGGAATTTCCAGGGTGCCTCTGTAACTTGCTTTGGAAATACTATATATGTGTTCTTCATTGTGGGAATTTCAGATTACAGGGTCTGTGTATTTGGCATGAAATTGTGGTGGGTTACAGGGAGTCTGGGGCAGCTCCCTCGCTTCCACCCTGCTGCCAGGGGTGTGATCTCCAGCCGGAGGACTGTAGCACTGTGGAGTTCACCCCTTCTGTGTGATCTTCTGTTCTGCTCTGTTCAGGTGTTTCATCAAGCACTTCTAATCATCATATCTAAGTACCTACCAAGAGCACATAAATGATTTATCATTTGTTTCGTGTTGTGTTTTAATCCATAATTTTTCTATTTTAGACTTAACTGAGGAAAAAAAACCCAACAACTTTAATTTCTGCATCAGGTTTTTTTCAACAAAGTGAAGTTTAAAAAAAAAAAACAACCCACATCACAAAATCAAGAGCCTCTGGTTAGGTTTGAGTCCAGAAACATCTTGTCAAAAATGCCTGCTTCTTATGTCTGAGTGGAAACGGTCAGCTCCCTCAGAGAACAACGCTGTGCGTAAGATAAACCTGTCTCAGGTGAAGCAAGACTCAGTCCTCTTGGGTTTTATATTTCTGCATGTTGGCTGCACTTCAGAGCCTCTGAGAGTTACTCCAACGCAGCTGTACGTGGAGAATGCTCTCTTTATAGACCAAATGTATTGTATGTCTGCAGAAAAGGGTCTAGTAGCCAGTGAGAAGGGAAGGAACAGGCAGGACAGGAAGGCACAGGTTTCAAATAAGTAGACTTGAAAAATACAGAGGTTTTTTTGTTTGGTTGGGTAGTTTTTTAAGGAGAAGAAACAAACCTACTATCCTGGGAATCTTTTGTCTTTTTCATTATACACGCTCGATTCTGAGATGAGACATGTGGATGTTGCTAAGACTTTATAACATCAGGGTCAGTTTGGCTTCACCCTGCAGACCGTGTGTGCCAGTGGGTCCTGCTCTTGCACACGCAGCCTCTCTGGGAGGGCTGGCACAGACTGCGCTGCTCCACTGGCCCAGGACCTGCAAAGAAAGATAAAAATCTTGGACTGACCATGCTCAAGGTGATGTTCTGGCTCTTCTGGCACTCGATGGGACTAGGATTTCCCTCTTTGTCTCAGTGCTGGGCAAAACTTAGAGCTCTTAGACTTTCTGTAGCTGTAGTGAGCCCATGTGGTTTTTGTATCACTGGCTTTAGCAATAAAATGATTTAATCAAATCTGTAAGTCTCACAAATTAACAAGTGTTTTACTTGGGGAGAAGTGTTTGGTTGGACCTTCAGAGACAATCACTAGAGAAAGGGGGCCGAGCTACATGGGCAGGTCTCTCTTGTGGGATTTTGAAATGACTATGGTGGCATGTGATAGTGGTGTAAGATGCTGAACAAACAGAGGAATGCTTTGGTGGCTTCGGGAGAAGAGAATGGTTTGAAGAGTACACACAGGCACATTTCCACCCTGTGAAATAAGTGGGGCCTCACAGTAAAAAGAATGGGGAGAATCCGGCCATTCCCCTGTGAGGCTGAGCAATAGCTCAGGTTGGCTGGGTCAGAACAGAAGTTCCCCATGTTGTTCCTAAACTGGTTTCTGCCCACTTCATCGAGAGCACAGCTGGGGTTGGACTTACACTTCTGTAGGTCCCTTGCTTTCTGTCCAGGTTCAGCTGCCACGCCAGGCACAAGGCACTTGTATGGAGAGGAACAGCACTTGGGAAATCTGCTGGTGACTGGACTATAGATCTATATGAAG